GAACGACCGATCGTCAGCGCCCGGTAGGCGGACGGCCTATGTATGTATTCGGCGGCGGCGGCCCATTTTCCCGCGGCCGTTGAAATATCGTCCTGCGTCGATGGTTTTCGCGTTTCGGGGCGCAACGAACCGGAAGGTAGCATCGCGTCGCGCGAGAAAAACGCTCGGCGAGAAGGACGTTCCCACGGAACGACGAGTCCGCGAACGAGCCCTTTAACCCTTTCGGTATGAGCGCCGGATATATCCGGCATCCAACTGGTCACCTGTGTGGCCGAGCGCCGGATATATACGGCATCCATCCGATGACCAATATGGACGAGTGCCGAATACACCTGGCATCCATGTAAGCCATATTTCTGACATATTAGAAACTATTCTAATAACCGTTCGAGTCCCAAGCAGCGCTATCACGCTGTTTGGCATTTTTCGACCGTGTTTTCTGAATAATACCTGGGACTCGAACGGATAAAGTCTTTTCTTACAAGGATTCCGAAAAGACAGCTACTGATATAATTGTCGTTTGATCTGAATTGAATAAAAAAATTTCAGGTTACATTTTTCTTCGAAACTTGTTCATAGATTTTAACATATTGTAGGCCCTTTACAGAATGTTTACAGGAAACAAAAGATTTAGAAACGGATTAAGCACAGTCGTTGCTTAACGCTTAACCCTGCCGAAAGCAGGAACATTAAGCGCGCGCAGTTTTCAGCATTCGGGGCCAAGTCTTTTGCTTCAAAAACGTTGGACTAATATGACCAGATTTATTACAATTGATAATAGTTTTTGGTAGATGATAGCGTCTGCGAACAGAGGAAAGCGAGGCGATAGCCCTTGTTTGAACTTTTGGCTCCATTGTTGTGACCGGTGACTATAGTCACCCGTCGTGTATAGGTGGCATCTTGTGGCCGGTGACTACAGTCACTCATCGTATGTGGGTGTCGTTTTGTGGCGGATGACTATAGTCACCCGTAGTAGCGAAAGGGTTAAGAAAATCTTCGTACAAAAGTGGACCGACCCTGCGTTACGTGCGCATTTTCGGCGCGGCACCCCGTACAGTGGGAGTGTCACGGCGGACAACGCGCTCGTACCGAAAGGGTTAACTGCGACCGATCGGGACGCGCGCTCGCCGAATCGTACAACAGCTCGTACCTTCTGCAGAGCACGGGCACGCGTTTATCCCCCCCCCCCACACACACTTCGTGGCGGGTTCGTGCCAATCGAATTCCACGGGAATTCCATTCGGCCGGGGTCGACCGAGAAAAACATGATCGCGCAGGATTTCCCGGTGTTGCAAAGACATCCGAACACAACGGCGACCACGACGATGCTGTTTCAGAAGATTTAATATCAGCCGTTAAGCCTTGCAACGCGGTCGCCGGATCATTATAATCCACGGTATTTGAATCGTCCGCTTTAATTACTCGCAATTTTTGGCAAACGAATAAAATAAATTTCTGTTAAATTCGGAACAGCGAAAATGCATTTATGGTGAAAACGAGTAGCTGGAATACGATCAATTACGGGGACGTAAGAATTGAATAATATTATTACACTGTTTTCAACTTATCAAAATTATTAGAAGAAATAATTGATCTTTATTTACAATACAATTTTATAAAATCGTGTCCGAAAATTTTCATTTTGCAGAAACTTCCTTATCCTACTAATAATCTGCAAGAAGTATCTACAAAAATGTTTTGAAACATTGCTGAAAGATGACAGTAAATAATAATAATGTCTATTCGTTTAACGGGACGAACCCTTCGTCATGCGATACAAAAATGCACCAACGATCGAACAGACTGCGAACAAAGAGAGAAAAAAATAGAAAAATATTAACACTTAGCCAACCGAACGGGGAGATCTCCCCGTTTCAAATTCAGTCGGTTGACGACCGAATGGATGATTAACGAAAAATTAAAAATTATTGCTTAATTTTATTCAGATTTGCAAGAGATACGAATGCTGAAGAAGCAATCGATGCCATACAAAATTTTTGTTTAATCGAATGAAATATTTTAATTTTATGAACATTGTTGAGCTTTCTAGCGCGGTCGTGGAAGCGTTGATATTGTAACGAATGGCGTGATTATGATACGACGTAATAACCTGAAGTAAGAGAAATCCTTGTATCTGGAGACGAGCGAGAAGCTTCGGACAGCTCGGAATCGTTGGAAGCGCCGTCGTTGGTACAGTTGCGAAAATTGTCCGTCGTCCGTGGGTTAATTGGCCGACCTCGGTAGCGACGAGAGACCGTATATCGCTCGAAGCGGCGGCGAAGAAAAATTCGCGCCGGCGACTAGCGGGATAGCGGGCAAGGTAGAACTCCGCCCGATAACGTTGCGTCAGCGAAGGCGATCATCCTCCTCCTCCTCTCCCCCATAACGGCAATATGCGTTTCCCGGCGATTACAGTTTCGGTTCTGCGGCCTGGTTCAGCCCGTTGTAGAATTAGCAGAAATTCTGGCTCAGTGAGCAAAACAGCGCCGTCGCCGCAATGCCAGTGGCGTATTAATAACACGTGCTTCGTGTAATTTCAATTCCTGCCGCGCGACCCCCTGTCGCCCGGCGCCTCTGTCCTCCCCGTTGCCATTGGAAAATAATACACGGACGAAATTCATAACGACCTAATGAGCTTATGCTCCGGCTTACTACCGCCATACTTCCGCCGCCGATTCGCCGAGCTACCACCAGAAAGACCCCCGCGAGCGACGCGACGCTGCGCGCTAAATTGCTACCGACGACCTTCGAAGCTGTTCCTCTTCGGTCATTTTTTTTTCGGCGATTCGGCCGAAGCGAAAACGTTCCGCCGGAAACTATGTTCGCTTCGCCAAGGAACAGCCTGCGACGGGATCCAGGATTAGGGCGAGCAAGGGGGGCCGCCCCGCAGGTAGACGGAGCACAAAGAACAACTCTATGGGGGAGGGGTGGTCGCGCGATGCAGAAAGTTGAACGTGACACGGCATCGGTACGTGCCGGTCCATTGGCGCGGAATCAAACAAGCGAAAGCAAAAACACTGGCTCCGATAGTCGCGCGGAGCGAAGACGTCGCAAAGTTTCTCGCAAATGGAGTGGCATTCGCGGCCGGGATAGGATGCACTCGGTTCGAGGCAATTTATTTCGTTCCCTTTCTCGCCGAAAACATCGTTCCGCCGCGGAAAGAATGATGGATGTTGGGCGTCGGTCGTCGCGTACCATCGCTGCGAAACACGCCGAGTGCCGTTAAGGTCGAGTGCCTCGGATGTGGGACGCTTTGTACTCTCCGGCGTTACTCGGTTTTCCCTCTTTCTCTCCAGAAAGCCGTCGCCTCGGTCTCTCTAGCCGAGCCGGAAAAGCTCCGGCCTTGACAGCGCGGCGGCGTTCCCGCTCGCAGAAATCTTCTCGTCCCCCCTCCCGCGAGCGAGAAAGCGAGCGAGAAGAC